GTGTGGCATATGCAAAAAAGTTATGCTAATGAATTATGCTAACGAGCTCCTGCACCTCTTTTTCTACGAAATGACCCCTGGCAGCACGTTAAATTCACAGCTGATGGGCATCTTCAGCAAACCTTGGATCACAGGTGGTCAGCTCTTGGTGGGGAAATACCTGGAGATTTGGAAGGGCGGGGTTTGGGGAGGGGAGGGGCCTCAGCAAGGTGCAATGCCAAGAAAGTCCACCCTCCAAAGCAGCCATTTTCTCCATGGGAAGAGATCTCTAATGTCTGGCAAGCAGCCGTAATACCGGGAGCTCTCCAGGACCCATCAGGAGGTTGGCAACCCTAATAATGACAGATGGCTAGCCCACACAAGAAACGACAGGACCGTAAAGAAACGACCTTAAAGGCTGACAAAAATTTGTCCCAGCAGAAGCTTTTTGTGAACCGGAGCTCACTTGATCAGATGCAGCGTTCATGCGCTCAGACTCACCCAGGCTTCTGCTGGATTTTAAAAAAGATGAGCAATGTTTGAGTCCAGCGGCCCCTTGAAGACCAACCAAGTTTTATTCCTGGTATAAGCGAAAGTTTATACCAGGAATAAAACTTGGTTGGTCTTCAACCAGGGTTCATTTCCTGCAGGAGCGCATAGGAGCGGAGCTCCAGCAGTAAGGAGCTCAGGGGGCGGGCACATGCAACAAGCCCCACCCCCTGCTCCCAGCAGCCCTCAGTCGGGCCATGAGGAACAAGAAGCAACCAGGTAAGTTGCAGAGCCCCTCCCCAGTCCACCTTCAGGTACAAGCTCTCCCTCCTCTGTGAGGGCAGATCTGAGCGTCCCCCCCCCAATAGCTAGCAATCCAAAACAGTCCAGTGGAGCCTGAGCGGTGGGTGTTGCCTTCTGACACACTTCCGGTGATGTCAGAGTGTGTGGCATATGCAAATACGTTATGCTAATGAGTTATGCTAATGAGCACCTGCATCTCTTTTTCTACGAAATGACCCCTGCTTATGCCTAGCTGTTGGGCTTAGCAAGCTGAACAAACACTTCAGTAATTATAGGGTTAACTTTGTTAGTCAACAGTAAGTCACGTGTTTATCCAAGATCTTCCCCATTTTTCTCTATGAAGTCTTCCAATTTAAAAATCGAGTTTATCTTATATCTTCTACTTTTATACACAAAAATAGCCCTTCTGGAAATAACCATCTGTATTGTATATTGTTTAACTTGAGCGCATTCGCTAAAGAGTAGTAAACTTGCCTCTTTTCTCTTACCCTCCATGGGGTTTCTCTAAGGATTTTAGTTTCTGAATCTCACATTCGAAAGGGAGTTTCATTTGAAGTTTTCAATATTTTTTCCTTGACCTCTTTTGGCAAATTTAATGTGCACTTCTCTAGGGACTTTATTACGTATAGCATAGGCAGAGTTAACCCTGTATATTACATCAATGCTTTGATCCATTTCTGTTAAAGCCTCCATTCCTATATACTCTGCTAATGCTTGACTCATTTCCTGTTTTAAATTTTCTTCATTTTTTTTCTGGGAGGTTTTGCAATCTTAATATATAAGACGCTTTTTCTAGTTTTATAAGCGAGTCCTCTAACAATTCTTGTTTTTTCTTTACACTTTGGACTTGTTCATCGACCCAAAGGGGCAAATAAAAAACAATAAGAACAATACTAAATGCCCTGGAATTCTACGAACAACACCTAGAAAAAGGTATGGCTTTGATATTTATAGACGCTGAGAAAGCCTTCGATAACTTAAATTGGAATTTTTTATTGGAAAAATTAAATAGATGGGAGGCAGGTGAAGATTTTTTGATAACGATCAAAGCCATATATGATAAGCAATTTGCCAAGATAATAATAAACGGCGACTTAAGATATAGAAATTTTAAAAGGTATAAGGTAAGGTTGCTCCTTGTCCCCTTTACTGTTTATTTTTGTATTAGAAACTTTACTAGGACAAGTTCGAAATAATAAGGAAATTAAAGGTTTGCAAGTAAAAGGCGAACAAATTAAAGTACAGGCTTTTGCTGACGATACGGCATTTATATTGGAAGAACCTAAATGCTCCTTAAAACAACTATTGAAAGTATTACAAGGATATGGTGAAGTGGCAGGGCTTAAGGTAAATCAAAATAAAACAAAAATAATGCTTAAAAATTGCGATGAAAAAGAGAAGAAAAAACGACAGGAAATGTCAGGTTTTGAAATCTGTACAAAAGAAAAATAATTGGGTTTTTTTTTAACAAATAGGTGTTGTTCCTTATTTAATGACAACTACAAAAATTATTGTTAGAAATAAAGAAAGATTTAGATAAATGGAAACCATTGCAATTATCATTGTTTGGAAGAGTAGCAACAGTAAGAATGAATGTCCTGCCACGTATCTTATATCTCTTTCAAACAATACCTATTTTAAGGAATCATTTTTTTAAAGAACTTGAGAAATTATTAAAAGACTTTATATGGCAACAGAAAAAACCCAGGGTAAAATTAAAATATTTACAACAAAAGAAAGAAAGGGGAGGCCTGGCTTTTTTCCAGACTGGTCCCTTTATTATAGAGCAGCAGCTATGGTGTGGTTAAGAGATTGGGTCAATTTAGAAGATGTAAGAATGTTAAAACTTGAAGGGCACAATCTATTGATGGGTTGGCATGCATACCTGTGGTATAGCAAGGTCTCAATACATAGTTATTTTAAACAGCATTCCATAAGAGGTGCACTATATAAAATATGGGAAGAAATAAAGCGAAAATATTATATAAAATTCCCACGATGGATTTCACCTATTGAAGCGTTTGTAAAACCCTCTCTTTACGTTAAATACAAAAAAATGGAAATATCAAGACTTCTTAGATGAAAATGGAAATATGAGAGCAGAAGATATAAATAATGAAGACATAAATATGACTTTGTGGGGAAAAAGACAGTTGTTATATTGAAGCGTTTGTAAAACCCTCTCTTTACGTTAAATAAAAAAAATGGAAATATCAAGACTTCTTAGATGAAAGTGGAAATATGAGAGCAGAAGATATTATAAATAATGAACATATAAATATGACTTGGTGGGGGAAAAGACAGTTGTTATCAGTCGGCAAAAAACTGGGTTTTATGAAAATCAGACGGAATTAGATAAAATATGGCTAGGTATGGGAAAAAAATTTAAAAGGCCTATAATTTTTGGCTTGAATGGAAGATGCAAGATGAATAGGTAAAACCCTCAATGATTGCATGGGCTAGAGATACAGGATATAACCTGGCTTTAGAACAATGGGAAAAGGTTTGGGGGGGGGGAAATGTAACATTTGTTAGATCAAGTGCCTACAAAGAGAACATTATTAAAATGTTTTACAGATGGCACATTTCCCCAGTAAGGTTAAATAAATATGACAAGAGAATTGGGAAGAATTGCTGGAAATGTAAATATAGTGATGGAACATATTTTCACTCATGGTGGCTATGTAGTAAAGCTAAAAAATATTGGATTATGGTAAAAGAGATTATTAATGAGATACTGACTAAAACAATCCCACTATCACCAGAATGTTTTCTATTAAATTTCATCCCAGATACTTTTAAGAAAAATGAAATATACCTAGTGATACAGATTCTTACAGCAGCCAGAATTACCTTTGCTAGTAGATGGAAAGATGAGGAAACTCCTACTAGAGAAGAGTAGTACTTTCGGGTATGTTGTAGGTATGTAGGGCTATCTTTCAGTATACTCCTGCAGAGTGCAGGGGGTTGGACTAGATGACCTGCAAGGTCCCTTCCAACTCTAACATTCTATGATTCTATGAAGTGATTTCTAAGATATCTGATGTGTCAGAGA